GAAATGAACCGGAACTGGAGCTAACAGGCTGCTCCGCTGCGGTGTGAAGAGGAAAACCCGGTGCTTTTCAAGCTCCAGCTCCGAACCGGCCCTGAAACACCGTTGGTGTGAATGAGGTAAGTGTGTTACATCCTCTGAAAGCTGCTGCTCACTGGACCAGAACACACGGCTGCCTAACTTTGCAAACCCATGGGTAAATACTGAAAGTTTAGCGCAGCACTTTGTAGCCGAAAATAGAGTGAAAAACGAAAAAAGGATAGAAAGCTTGAATGTCTCATCTCATCTTTTAACTTTTTAATAGAGGACCTTTTTTGGGATTGGATTGTTTTGGGTGCTTTTTGTTTATTTTTACATGTTGGACTCAGCTATTTTCATCATCGTCTCCCCTGTGCGTGCATGTTTTCCCTGATATACTCAGGTATCTCTTAGAATAGAAGTCTAAATTAGTTTTACTATAAAAATAAAAAAATTCCTAAAACCTCTTGAAAGCGTATTAGTAGGCATTGTAGGTGACAAAATACAAATACATTCTGAGCCAGGGGAAGCAATATCCAGAAGGAATTCTAGATTAAAGTACTTAATAAGAAAGTAAAAAGATATGACAATTAATATTTTCGGAGGTATCATTAACCTATACATTATAGAAAAAAATAAAAATAAAGTCACAAATTAACTGTTTTGGAGACATTTTCTTTATTGGCTAAATGAACCACACCGCTTTAATGCCTGCAGTGACTGACCTAATCAAATTACACGATTGCAATTGGATTTAGCAATAAGGAAATGCTCTTGATTATAGCCAAGAATCAGTGTATAATCATAAGCATTTACGAGTTTCCTCAGGCCTCTTTAGAGGAAAACAACATAGCGATTTGTACGAGCTTTAGTCTTCGGTGTGATGAAGATCCACCTTGCAAAGCAAAGCTATGTAGTTCCCTTAGAAAATAATTACATCTTCCAATTAATTGTCCCATAAACTAACCACTTTAATTCGTTAATATTACCTCCTTCCCCCTTTTTTATTTTCAGTATCCTTAATATGCAGTATGGTGTGAAGCCTTTTTCTCTACGTACTTTACTTTGATTCAGAGAAATGATTTGCTCAGACATCAAACATATGTTGATTGAAAGTATAGTGGTTATGAGCACCGCGTTGCACAGTACGCTGCCTACCTGCGCAGTTTATCAGTGAACTTGTCCAGCTCCTCCTGGGCCCGCCGCAGCTCCGTCTCCAGGTACTGCCGGGTGGAGTCGAACTCGCCCTGCAGCAGCTCCAGCTTGTGTGTCGTGTACGAGAGCCGCTTCCTCAAGTCCTCCTTCTGCTCCAGCATTGAGCTACACACACACACACACACACACACACACACACACACACACACACACACACACACACACACACACACACACACACACACACACACATTCTGTTCAGGGCATATGGTGCAGGAAACAAGCCTGTAACTTTGGTGTATGCTTATCTAAATTGACTTATATGGTACATATCTTTTTAATGCCCCCCGAGTGGCCATGCAGCGGTGATGAGAACATCATGAGAGGGTGATACAAGCTGAAAAGTTGTGTAGGAAAGTGCTTTGTATGGAAAAAACATGGGACCAAAACACAGATCTCTCATTAGGGATCCAGGCGGGGATAAGCAAAGGAAACAGAACTTCTTTCTCTTAAGTTATTCAAGCATTAGGTTTCTTTTTGTTGGCATTTTAAAGCTCTGCAGCACATCACAGAAACCCAATCATCAGTGAGATTGGTCCCAAAGAGAAAAAAAAGGAGGGTGTAATCTGTGATGAAATATGAGCCAACGAACTCTAATACATCACATGAATAGACTGTGAAGTCTCAGATTTACGGAACAGCGATACCCCCCCCCCACACGTAATTCAGCCAGACAGCAAAATGATGACTATTTTCAGAGTATGTGCATTACCTGGGCTTCAATCTAATAAAAGAGCAAGTGTGAGTGGGAAAAGAGGAAATGTCTGTTGCCGTGATGGATCTGAATGTGCACGGCTGGGCTTAATGGACCCTGTATTGACGGACAGATGGAGAAAGGAGGCTAACGACTCTATCTGCAGCCAGATAACAGATAGCAGAGAGGGGATGGAGATGTCGTCACACAGCTCTTCCTCTCCTTCTCTCTCTTTTAACTCGATCAGAGAACCACAAGGTGGGGACTGAAGAAGACTGAGGGGAAAATCAGGGACAGGTCTCTTTCAATGTTTTCAGGTCACTAAGTGGAGGTATCATCGAATTTCTAGCTCATTAAGAAGCATGATAAATACTACATGGTGCGTTATCCCTCAGAATGTATTTTTAAATCAAATGTATTTATTTTGTTAACGAAGCGCTTCAGCTGGAAAAGGAATTGTTGACTGTCACAAAAATAATACAATTAGGGTATAACTGATATCATTTGATTCACAGGCCAAACACAATGTTCTCTCTTTACTGTAGGTGTTGTGATTAAAGGCATTTCAACCTCTCCTTGACAATCCAATTGAACAAATCCTTAACACAGTAGAGATGCAACATATTTGTGAGATAGAAAGCCATTTTTGTCAGAGGCAGAGTAGCTCTATAGAATAGAGAAAGAAATATCATGAGATATTTACATTTCTGTGACAGGAGTCAGAACATTTGAGTCTACAAGTTATCAGATCAATGACAAATTACGCCATTGGAAGCTTAGTTTGTTTCCAGAAACGACTGACATGATCATTTCGAGGTTGCATTATCCATTATAAAAGGTAAGCTAAGTATAAGCAACTAATACTTCTTGGCTGAAGTAAGTCAAATTAAGCTATAGTGGTATAGAAGAAGGGATGTAAACAATGGTATTTAGCATTAATGTCAAGGCACCAATGTACCCAAGAGGTTTTGTGACAGTATGACAACTAGAGATGGAAACAAATAATAATAAAAAGCCCTTACTATAAATGTAACTTGAGGTTTGTGCTGTGAAAACTGTGGTACATTAGGTCCTTTAATGTTTTATTTTACTTAAACTCCACTCTTGACTGAATACAGTACCATAAGAGGCTAAATGACAAAAAGGAAGTCAATTGGAGAAGATCACACTGGATCTGGAATATTGTTTATTTTTCATGCGACCGCCACAAAGCTGTCAGTGAGTAAAACAACAACACCTGCCTACTGAGTGTTTCAATGAGTGTGTCAACTGACTGCAGGGCATTTCAGTGCTGCATTACCCAGCAGCCCCCACTCCTGCAGCTCTTTGATTGGCAGGCGCTGGCAGGGGAATACAGGTGTTTGTTGTCTGATAGAGGACGAGTTTACGTGAAGTAGCTCCAGGGATATGAAAAAAAAAAATCCCCGATTAGTGACCTCCTGTGAGTCACACATAATGAGTGCTTTCACTCCGGTGAGATGAGATGACGAGGCAGCATGACTCCTGGGTTGGAGAGGCGGGATGAGGCTGCGTTCGCACCACTGGGAGGCGAGAGGAGACACCCCGTGGGCGGATGGACGGACGGACAAACAGATACAAAATGAGGACGGATGGAGAGATGGCGTCTGAGAGTTTCTCTCTTACCTCTTTTTTGGATGTTTGCCGCCATTTCGGGGGACTTTTAAGGCGGTTTTGCCAATGTATATCTTTTTCATGGTTTCTCTGTGTTCCTTCCCTCTCATGTGTTTATAGGGGTTGACCACAGGGAGCTGCCGTTTGTGTTACTTTCCCAAAGGAGACCAGCTAAGTGCAGCCTGCGGAGTTACTGAGTGCTCTACCTGTGTTGACCCTGCCAAACAAAGCAAACACACAAACTATTAGTAACTACGGTTCAACCATGGAGCCGGTTTGAAGGACAACATTTTGTATTGATATTCATTTGATGGCGAAAATTACCCACAGTTTTGTCCTTGGTAAGAAAAGAAAAGCTGAAACAGCATTACACTCTGTACTAAATTCTGGTTATTTTAAAGCTCTCAAAGGTTAAACCCCTCCCTTGGTGATGTACGTTTTGGGCAAATGTTAGTGTTTTTTATGTGTCACAATGCGCTGTTTCCTTTTGAACATTCAGTGGAAGTGAAAATGAAAGAAACCAAGACATCAGTGGTAAATGTCAAGTTTGGGTCTTGGTCCTTCAGTCTTAAAGAGCAAGGGTTTCTTTCTGCTTTGCAAGAAAGTTCAAAAATAATATGAGGACAAATGTAAAAAGGTATAGTCCACAAATCACACCTTTGTAGAATTCATGTTGGTTCAATTAAATACTACAATATACTTTTTACTTAAATCTCTGTTTTTCCAATCTATGTATTACACATTTTGGGAAAATGGCTTGTATTGAAGCTGTGTCAAGCCATTTTAAGTTAGAAGTATTTATCTAGACCAACATGTATGACTAAATAAGCTACGATCAAAGATAAGGTTCAGAAGAAAAAAAACATTAGCAGGTATTAAACAAAGACAATGATCTGGCATTATGATTAACAACCCCATAACACATTTTGATCGGTGCACACAGTCACTTTTCATCTGCACCATGCCCACTTTAAATCAATGAAAAGAACACAGAGGAAAATAGAAATGACTAAAACTGGTCTAAATTTAGATTGTTTTTGCTTTAATGTAGAATTGAAATAGAAAACATGTAAAGCTGACAGAGAAATGTTTTCAGGGTCCTTACAAGAAAAGGAAATGTATTTCTTAGGTTTTATGCCTGTGTTCGTGTTCTTCCGGGACACTAGCTGCTTCATATCACTGGTGGTTGACGAAAGGCCTTTGTGACACGCAGATATCAGACTTATCAGTAAAGACAAACATCCCTCTGACCCTTTTCAAACTCTTATATGTCACAACACAGAGGACATGAACCGACACATCCACCCAGAATGAAAAGAGTTTGACAAGGCCAATGCACCGAAGCCTCTTTTCCAAATATCTCATCAAACTTGTGTGTCTCGATGGCGTCCACAGCACAGGTGCGGCTGTCAGCCTGCAGACAAAATAGAGCGCGTTATTAGATGAGACGGCCCGTCAAAGCTTGATCAAGGCGGCTCTGATCCGAGCGCGGACTGTCCACGCGGAAAGGAAACTCTGTGACTGCAGTAACCGAGGAGAGCGTCACATTCGGTACGTTCAAAGGCGGGAAAAGTACTCAGATCGAAGTAGCAGAGTGTAGAAAAATCCTGCAATCGAAAAGTTACTTGAGTAAAAGTAGAAAAGTATTGCCATCAAAATATACTTAAAGTACCAAAAGTAAAAGTTCTCATTATGCAATAATATGAATGATATGTTTTGATTATAAATATCGATGCGTTAAAGTGTTATCAAAGCTGGTGAAGGTGCAGCACATTTGTATTAGTTTGTATCCTGTAAGGTAGCTTGTGAATTTACTCCAGGTGTATCTATAAAGTCTCATTGTGTTGTTTATATTTTACATCATTAGTCAATTCTGGAAAGTAACTTAAGGGTATAAAAACGAATGTAGTGGAGTTAAAGTACACAACATATCTCTGAATTGTTGTGGGGTAGAAGTACAAAGTAGGAAAACAGCACAGTAGGCTACTTAAAAACTCTACTTAGTTACTTCACACCACTGGGTACGTTGATATATAGCCTACTGAACATACGCATGAGTAGAAACCGGATGGCACACATACAGCAGGGACACATGTTGATCTGCTGACATACAGTTGTTGGCGAGGTGATTTATTCTGCTGGCTGAGGAGGCAGAGAGAAATATCCTCCTCCAGATGGTGACAGCTCACCGCCGCCACTGGAGCCTTCACTCCAGCTGCTCCCCTCTGAGTCATAGCTCTGGATGTGTGTGTGTGTGTGTGTGTTTGTGTGTGAAAGCTGTTGTGGGTGTGAATTAGTTTTTGTGCATGTGGCTTTGGCGAGTGTGTACCTGCGCATGTTTTTTGTGTGTGTGTGTGTGCTGCGGCATCAGCTGTGCCCATTCAATCCCCTAATTTCAAGGAATCAAATAAACCAACCTCCTCTACGAGAAAAGTCCAAAAAAGGACAGCTGCTAGCGACACATCTCGGGCCACGTCAGGTGTCCGCTGTCGACCCGCCAACGCACAACTACTCTCACTGCCTTCGCTCATTCACTCCCTGCTTCTTCTTCCTTCAGCCAGAGCCTCACACTGCAGCAAAACCAGAGACGGGGCTCGTTCAGATGCCGCTGCCTGCCACCCACTCGTGCCATGCTGACATTTGAGAGTATTGAAAAGAAGAGGAAGGGGAGGTAGTAGGAGGAGGACATTCAAGTTGTTGAATGGAGATGAAGGGAAAAGCAGGAAGCCTCTTTTAGTGGGGAGAGTAGTTGCAATTTAGCCAAACACGAGAAACGGAGAGAAGTTATCACTGAATTAGAGGAAAAGGAAACAGATTGGGTGTGAAGCCTCCACTTAAGATCATCATTTCTGTTTCTCCCTTTCTGCCTCGCTGATAGCATCTACGTTGCAGATAGATAAGCTCTCAGGAAAAGCCCTTATATGAGGCCCAGACCTCAGCATTAGAGCGGGGGGGGACCCGAGCGGCTGACTCATCCCGCAGCAGCAGAAGAAGAAGACGCTCGTTCTGCCCTGAATGCCTTCAGATTAACAAGGTAGCAAACCTGCAGCAGCCAAACGACATGTACAGTGTGACTCAACCACCCCATAGAAAGAAATCAACAGTCTAGAGTGCTATTCTGTCAGTGTGTGGGTTTAGCTGCTTCTCTGTGCAGTATTGATTAACTCAGGAGCTGCAAAACTAAGTAGTTACACACCAACTACCAACATCATTAGCAGCATCGCGGCATAATGACCCGCTGAACGGATTTCATGTGAAGCTGATGGCACTCGACACAGGGGAGAGAGGAATCGCGGCAGACATCCAGAGAGGATGGCAGGATGAGCGGGAGAGGTGACGGAGGCAAGAGATATAAATACAAAGATATACTGTACACAGGTCTGTTATTCTTCTGAAATCCAACAAGACAACACAGAGGGGAAATTGAGTCTAGTGCTGGTAGTATGAGGGAACCAAATGTCACAAAAAACCCTCGATATTGATGTTGCAACAATATCGAGGGGTTATAGGCCATTGGTGCTTTCATAAAGTATTTACACAGTGCACATTTTGATAAATAATCATTAGTTATGTGGATATAATAACTAAGCAGGTAAAGGGAAATAGTAGAAAGGCAGTCTGGTGTTCTCAGAAAATGTAATGATTTTACTGTAAATCAAAACACACACGCTTTCTCACTTTTTAAAAAACTATTTTTCTTTTTGTATTACTTTTAATATAGTATATTTTAATATTGTTTTAATATTGTCTGCTTATCTGTATTATTGTGTTGCATTGTTGAAGAAGCCTGTGACCTAAGATTTTCAAGGACATAATTACTCTGTAGCTATGTTAGTTTGACAATAAAGAACCTTGAACCTTGTAATGCACCGACACTTACTCGATATAACGATACCCAAAGTGTCAGACATTATCCATTCTTATATCATAAATTAAATCGATATATTGCCTAGCCCTAATTGAGTCCAACACCAAGAACCGAGTTGTAATAGAGACTTATAATGGCACTGCATTAAACATTTACAGAGGTTTTGCTAAAGCTACCAAGAGTGTACCATCCGAGACCGACAGTTTTTGTATGAGTTTCAAACAAAACTCTTTTTTGACGAGAGTTCAATGAGATTATTGACACCATGTCTCTTGTCTGTACAGTAAATATGAAGCAACATGCGGCAGCTGGTTAGCTTAGCTTAGCATGAAGACTGGAAACTGGGTTATAGAGCTAGTCTATCTCTGTCATAAATCTCAAAGTGAGGACTTAATCTTCTAGGATGGACACTTTAACATTTAAAGAAAAACCAAAATCTTGAGCTTGTATGCCAACAGGAATATCATATTTACAAAATAACTTGAAATGCTGTCACCAGAACTTCGAAAGTGTTCTCATAAATGATTCAATTTGTAATAAATACAAGTTTGGAGTAGAGAAGAGGCAAGAAATCCCCCAAGCTGTATAGAGCCTTTATACGTGCACACACACGTGCACACACACGTGCACACACACACACACACACACACACACACACACACACACACACACACACACAGCAAATTAAACAAACACACACGAGCACATTCTGTTCTACAAAAAACAGCGTCGGCCTTTGGACGAGAAAATCGTGTTATGGTGCCAGTAAATCCTGCTGAGAGCTGTCCTAACAAAGCCACTGAGACCTGCTCTTTCTTCCGACCCAGAAAACACTTCCTCTGAAACTTCGTGCGTAACCTCTCACTCAATTTGAAACTCAAAAGATTGAGGTTTCCTGAAGATTACTGTGTGTTCCAAACCAGTGGGTCTGAATTGCTTTAGCATTTACATTTCCGCATAAAGTAAATTATAAAGAAACTCCAATTCTGTCAACTCTGTTTATTTATTTTTTGGGGTTTCTGACTTATTGGTTGTACAATGATTTTCTCAGTAACTAAATGTTGAGGCATTTGCAGAGAAAAGGCCAGCGTTTGCTTTCTTTTCATCCACAATAATACAAAAATGAGATGGGACGAAGAAGCACAAAAAGGTTCAGCTCATTAAAAAAATAGAACACACACACAACTACGCACAAACACAGACAGATACACAACACACGCCCACCATCACAACATATTGTTTACAAGTGGAGCTCGAATGGACAGGTAGTGATTAGACACAACAAAGGAACCACCTCTGCAAATCTGGGAGCCTGCAGTGTACCGTGTGTGTGTGTGTGTGTGTGTGTG